TTGTCACCAATCACCTTTTATTTTCCATGTGCCTTAGCACAGTTTCCAGACGGATCTTCTCCATGATCTTGTCGGACACCAGTGTGACTGACTGGTCTGTAGCATACTGCATCTGCCTTCTCTTTTGAAAAATGGTCAAATTTTCCATTTTCCAGTCAGTGGGAACTTCACTGAACTGCCACAACTTCTCAAATGTGATGGAGAGTGGCTTAGGAACTTCCTCTGCCAGTTCCCCCAAGGTCCATAGACACATCCCATCAGATCCCACAGACATGTGCACCTTCATATTCTTTAAATACTCCTTTACTGGCGTATTTAAGATACTCCAGTAGAAGATACTTTATCTTCTCAAGCCCAGAGAAAGGAACAGAGCTGGTGAAGAGTATGGAGCATGAGTCCTCTTAGGAATGGATGAGAGCTGGGGGGCTCAGCCTGGAGAAAAGGAGGCTCAGGGGGGACCTTGTGGCTCTGCACAGCTCCTGACGGGAGGGGACAGCCAGAGGTCAGGCTCTGCTCTCAGGGAACAAAGGACAGGACAAGAGGAAATGGCTTCAAGTTGTACCAGGAAAGTCTCAGGAGAAATTTCTTCCTGGAGGGGGTGATCAGGCATTGAAGGGTCTTCCCAGGGAGATGATGCAGTTGTCCAAGGAAGGTGTCCAAGGAATGCCTGAATGTACCACTCAGTGCTCTGGGCTGAGTGGCAAGGTAGGTGTCAGTCACAGGTTGGACTCGATGACACAAGTTTGACTTGATGACTTTGGAGGGCTTTTCCAACCTTAAAGGTTCTGGAATTCTGTGGTTCTACTAGTGTGGATGGTTCTTCCTTCTCCCAGTCCCTGCCTTTGCCCCTGCAACTCTGGCAGTGGGTCACTTCCCAGTGAAGACTGGGGCACAAACATTGAGAACCTCAGACTTCTCCATGTCCTAGGAAAGCAGGTGTCTCGTTTCCTTCTGGAGAGGGCCCACATTTTCACCAGTCTTCCTTTTATCACCAATGTACCATTTACCCCAGTCTTCCTTTTATCACCAATGTACCTATAGAAGCTTTTCTGTTGCCCTTGATGTATCTGGACAGACTTAACTCTACCAGGGCTTCAGGTTTCCTAACCTGATCCCTGGCTGCTCAGACAATCCCTCTGTATTCTTCCTAGGCTGCCTGTCTTTGCTTCCACACTCTGAGTTTGTCCAGGAGCTCCTTGTTCACCCTCACAGGCCTCCTGGAGTTTTTGTCCAAATTCCTTGTGCTTGGGATGCATCACTCCTGAGCTTGGACATGATCCTTAAATACGAACAAGCTCTCCTGGGCCCCTCTTCCCTCCAGGGCTTTATCCCGTGAGACTCCTGAGTCCCAGGGCTCACTGTGCCCTCCTTGTTGCCCTGAGGATCCTGAATCCATCATTCCATGTTCACTCAGCCCAGGCTACCCTCGAGCTTCTCGTTCCCTACCAGGTCTCCTTGTTGGTGAGCACAAGGTCCAGCACAGCTCCTCTCCTTGCTGACTCCTCTCGCACCTGGAGTTTATCCTCAACATTCCTGAACCTCTTGGATCAATTATGCTCTGCTGTGTTGTGAATGTGACACTGCTATTGTCTGTCCAGAGCTTCATCTGATGGGTGTTCCTGCTAGAGCCCCCCAAAAGCCACCCCCAGTTGGCTTCCTGGGCTGCACCTGGCAATGCCCACATCTGGGTCAGTGCTGGGCTTGGCTACCTCAGGTTTATGGTCGGACTTGATGATCTTGAGAGCCTTTTCCAATCTAAATGATCCAATGATTCTATGTCTAGGACAGACCTCTGTGAAGGTTTGTGCCTCACATAGGAATTCTGGGTCTGTGGTGGGTCTCCAGTACAGGAGACAGGTACAGGGACAGTTCTGGCCAGGGACTCCAAGGCACCAGGTCTGGCTGATGTTGGCAACTTGCCCAGCACCATCTTCACTTCCTGATCCATTCTGTCCAGCACTCACTGCCACCTCTGCTCTTTGGACTCTGAAATTCCTAAATGGTCTTCCACTGATTCTTGCCAGGAATTTGCTTGAAGTTGTAATTCATCCTAAATCCATGGATTTCGTATGTACTTAGCACAGCAATCCCAGTGTGTAACAGTTTCCTGCCAGGCTGGGCTGCACTCAGGGATGGCCACCAGTCACCTTCACTCCTGGGGTGACAGCCAGCATTTCCAGAACCCTTGTTCTTGCCACAGACTCTTCATAAATCGCAGGAGTTCATGGATTAACAGAGCAGCAAAACCCAATCCATTCTGCAGATGGCGAGTCTGGATGAGGAACAGCTCCAACAGCCTCATGGTCCTTGGCTGTCAGAAGCCCCTTTGCTCCTCTTGGCACAACTTTCCCCTGTTGGCACATCAAGAGGCTTCTCTTGGCTCTCAGTGATCCCTGCAAACTTGCACTGGTGCTGTTCCAAGGAAGATCTCTCTCTTCCATACTCGGTTTCTGAACTGCACCAGGTGTTTTCCATCATTCATCTTCTTCCATCAAATCCTGGTCACATTTCTTCAAAATTTTGCAGTGAGGATTCTTCTCCAAATTTTGAGTACTTTATCATCGCTACAAAAAACTCAGGCAAATGGACTACTTTGTTAGGGTAAAAGAGGTTCTGGGAGAAAGATGGTGCAATTGTAGAATGTCAGTGCTGGAATCCTCAAGTGAAATGAGAGGATAAGAGAACTCACCTTCATTAATTTTTTTTTTTTTGAGATCATTGGAAAATAAAGGAAAGACATTTATTAGGGGACAGTGAGCAAAACCTGTTGGAAGAGTACCTACCAGGTGACTGCAGCACCAGAAACACAACACAGGGCTGCCTCCATCTCCTTCCCAAGTCCCATTTCATCCTTTCAGGTGAGATGGAGTCAATGTCCTTTGCAGTAGCCCCATATCATGCCATGTCTGGGATTTTGAGGAGACTGCTGATCACACACCCGTGTTTTGAGGAGAGCTCCCATGACATCCAGATTTTTTCCTTCTCTTGCTGTGCACCCCCTAGCAGGCTTCGGATGGATGGGAATTTGGGGATGGACAAGAAACTGGACAGTATTCCTAGACTGATCAAAGGGATATTCCATACCACAGGAGGCCATGCTCAGCAAATAAAAGCTTTATGAAAGCAGGAGGATGGAAGGACATTTCTGGTCACAGTATTGTCTTCCAAGTGAATACTGTGCACACGGAGACCCCAGAAATGGCTAATCTTCTGCCTGCTGACAGGACGTGGTGACTGAATTCCTGATTTTACTTTTTGTGCAAGCGGCTTTTGCTTGACCTGTTAAACTCCTTTATCTCCACCCACAAGTCCATTCTTCCATTTTCCCACATCCCGCAGGAAGGAAGTGAGTGGAGCAGGTGAGTGTCTGGGGTTGGCCAAAGTCAATTCTGTCCCAAAACACCCATTCCATACACAGTGAGCCCATGGATACCACACTACCATCCTGACTTGCTTGTTCCACCACACTTCCCTCCTACCAAGTAATCTCAATCACTGCAGAGTTTATTTCCATTATTCACCTTCCTTCTTCACCCACCACTGTGCATCTGGGCCATCATCCTGGTCTAGCTTAAGATCTCCCCATTCCTGGGAGTGTCCAAGGCCAGGATGGACAGGGCTTGGAGCCACCTGGGATAGTGGAACGTGTTCCTGCCCACGGCAGGGGGGAGACTGAGATGAGCTTTAAGAACCCTTACACACCAAACCTTTCTCTGATTCTGTGATTCTTCAGAGCAGGAACTTCATTTTTCTTCCCTTCTAAAAACCTCTCCTGCCTCTCCAATCCATTGGAATTTTTCCCACTGTGAAAACTTACATAAATAAGGAATACAGGACTAAGCTCTCCAAGAAACATTCATCCTCCACCAAAACCCTATAGATAAACTGGGCATCCATGGGATAATAAATGAAAACCCTGCAGATGAGAATTTGATAAAAATTAAACAAAATAAGAATAAAAACAAAAGTAAAGACAGCAAAAAAAAAAAAGCCTTCCATGAACACAAATCTGCAGCAGAGCTTTGCCAGGATTGGTGATGTTTAACATAAATATAAATAGACAGGAACAAAGCAATAATAAACTCTGTTGGCAAAAAAAGTTATTATTTGGTGAAAGGGAAACTGAAAAACTGCAGAAGGAACCTGCAATGATCAGACATGGACAACAGAGGACAAGGAAAGGTGTCCCTACACATACAACAGAGCATGGTGGGGAAATACACACAAAGTTCTCCAAAAATTAGGATGTAAAGACCGTCTGAGGGCACATTCCCTCCTACAAGGCAAACTAAGGTACCACAACTGAAGGTGGCAAGAGACATGTTCAAACAACAACAAATTAAAAGACACTCATTGAGGATTGTTAAAGGTACCACCCAGGGATAAAGTCTTTTAGCTTCAAGAAATTATTATTAACAGAATTCTGCTTAAAAAAAAATACATCCCACTCTTCCAAAACAACCCCACAAACTAATTTCCACATTGCACAGCTGGCCATGGCCTTATAAAGGCTCACAATAATGACAGAGAAACCATGAATCCAAACAACTGTCACAGGGTTCCTCCTGCCTCTGTCTTCACATCTGCAAGAGGTTTTGTACAAATATCTGCACTGTTACTGTCTAAAGTCCAATAACCACTGACTGTTGACCTCTTCTGAAAATTAACAGTTCTCAGGAGTTATGAAAGTTCTCATGCACATAAGAAAAACAAACAAAAAAGTATCTACAACGAGGGTTTGCAATTTTCATTGGGGTTCTAAAAGCCAGGCCATGGAATTCAAAAGGGGAAAGTTTATTTGCTAATACAGGACTCCCTCTATTCAAAATATGGGGAATATGCTGGTAAAAATGCCCTTTGTCTGTGCTCTTGGATCACATCCTAGAAGTAGAATGTGATGGTCAAGTCTCTTATTTCTGGCATTTAACAAAAACCTACAGTTCTCTAAATACACACATACTTAAAATTCATCTAGTTCTTCCATACTTAAAATTCATCTACCAGAAATACTCATTTAGGCAAGGGATTTCCTCTTGAAGTCACTGCAGAGGTGAAGCACGAGGCTGGGACCCCCAGGGCAGGGGGCTCAGCTCTGCTGCCTCTCCCGGCGCAGCTCCTCCAGCGCCGCGTTCTGCTGCCGCAGCGTCTGCTTCAGCCGCTTGATTCTCTCCTCCCGTATCGTCTCCTCCAGGTCTGGGGGAGCCATAGGGAAGGCATCATCTCGGAAAGAACCTTCCAGAATGGAAGTATCCTCTTCGGAAGTGACTAAAACTGAAATCCCTGGGTGGGTAGTGTCACTGTACTGGGGGAACGTGTCCTGCTCCACGTCCCTCTCCTGGGACACTCCGCCGAAGCCAGCGGGAACGCTTGGCTGTGCTGGGGCTGGTGCAGGTGAAACACTCCTGTTACCTGCACTGGAACCTGAGCTGGTCACTTCTAAACTGGGACTTGTGGCTGATTTGATTGAAGTTCTCCTCCTCTTGCCACTGTCTGACAAAGGTGAGGATTTTGTTTTCCTTTTCCTAACCAAATCTTCTTCCAGATCCACAATGATCTGCAGTTAGAAACAGACAAAATGCACTTCTGTTAAAGTTGGTATCAGTTACAGTATAACATCAAGTTCTCTAAGCACAAATTATAAGTTATTTGTTGCAAGCTTTTTGAAATTACTGCCTGGAAGAAGTTTCTTTCAGCAAAGGAACAAACATATTTTTGTGTTTGATGTTTTTCTAGCAAAGATTCCCCATTAACAATTCCAGACACTGAATTCCTTCTTTAGTCAATGCTGCATGTCTGCCTTTCCTGGCCTCATCCATCATCTCCTGTGGCTGTTTAAGTTAACAATACTGCAAGAAAAAAACTTTTTAATTTGATGGGAAAGTTCAGTGTAGAAAAACTTTTCATGTCTACATTTCCAAAACCTCAATCTGAGGAGTAATATCCATTATCACACTAAATTCCTCATAGATGTTTTATTATTTGAATCGTGGAATCACATCCTGGTTTGAGTGGGAAGAGACCTTAAATCCCACTCCATTCCACCCCTGGCCATGGGTAAAGACACCTTCCACGAGACCAGGCCGCTCCAAGCTCCATCCAACCTGGTCTTGCACAGTTCTAAGGGATGGGTTAATGACAATGTTAAGAGCAGCCATGGATCTGCTCAATTATTAGCACAAAATTAGTAAACCTGAGAAAGTCTTTGAGTTGAGTACAATCATACAGAAGAAAACGTAGCTGAACAGAAATACTTAGATGAATAAAATCCTTTCCATGCATTAACATGGAAGTTCTTCCATCCAGAAGTACCCAAACAATGACGGAGTTTGTAATAACATTTGTAATTCTAAAGATTGGACAGATCCACAAGTAAATTTCTTTTAATGTCAAGTAAACCCACTCCTCTGACCGTACCCACTGCACTGCTAGACAAACGCAACCATCTGCAGAGGCTTAAATATAAATCAGGATCCCAAGGTCAGGTCCCTACTCCAACAAGGACCATTACCATAGTAGTAGAGACAGTCTTCTCAAAAGCATTTGTTGCTCAAATTTCCTCCAGCAGAACCCAAAATTGAGAATAAAAATTCCTAGAGGGTGCTGGAGTCATACAGAAATCTCAAACAAGTTCAGGGAACAATTCTCATAAAGATCCCAAAGACTCCAAACACCCCCATCTCTGTACTGACTAAACATACACTGTTTTCTGAGTGTGTTTAGCACTGAAAAATCTCAGGTACCTTTTCTTTAACACATTCCTGATGATGACTCATTACTTCCACATCCAATGAGGATGAACTGCAAGACTCATTTTTCCTTTCCAAGCTGTCACTGGAACACACGCCTCCTTCTGGATTCTCACAGAAGGCCTTTGATGGTATTCTTGTAAGGTAAACTCTCTCCTCCTTAAAGAGACCAAACTTTTTCCTTAATTCCAAATATTGTCTCCAGTGTGAGCGGTCTTGGTGATTGTTTGGAATAACCTTTCCCAGTGAATCCATCTTTACACATTGCATCTGAAATACAGAAATGGTGAGAGAGCCATCAATCACTCTCTCACTATATATATCTATAAATAGATAACATAAATTAATATACAAAAAGTAAGTACTAGAAAGACAGGTGAACATTTTTTTTTGTCATTCTCCAAGAGCTACATTTAACACAGGTAACATTTGACACAGATAAACTGATTTTGATAAATTATATGCACATTATTATAGGTCTAACACTCGTTATTTAACACCTTAAGTTATGGAACATCCCAAAAATGTCCAGGCCAAGCAAAACCCACAGAAATAAAAGAAGCAACAAGAGAATCACTTGTTCTACCTTTTCAAAGTACCAAAGAAAGAGGAGGGAAGAGCAAGCAGTGTCTACTCTGCAATACAGAGCTTTGCAAATTTAGGGACAAGAACACCAAATTTGCTGAGCTATTTCTCACCAAGGTTAAAGCAAATGCTGAGACTCAGCATCACACAGCACTGAAGAAAATAAATGGTATTTCAACCATTTTTCAGTTGACAAACAATAAAAAAACTAGGTATTACAGTCTGTTGCAACAATTAAATGTCTACCATTTGCAAAAATACATTCAGCTGACAATTCTGTTCTTCCTGGACAACATAAACAAATTTTGGATTTTTTTTCTTTCGAGACAAATTCATTCTGGCCTTTGGAGCTACTAAAAACATGATCCCCAATCCTGTGTAGGGAGTTTGAGGAACGGAGGCTTACAATTTTTAACATATTTTCAACATTATGACCTTAAAAGAATATGTCAATTCAGCCATTAAGGATCTCAAGAGTTCCTTCTGCCTGGCACGGACCGAGGAGCGAAGGAGGTGGACCCTCCCCACCAGGGCAGGGGAGGAAGGAAACACAGCTCCTGCCCATGGCTGTCAGAGCCTGGAGCCTGTGGTGGCAGTGCCACACCAGAGCTGTCTCTGGAGGACAAACTCTGCTCTTCCTACTTATTTTCCTCTTGTGAAGCCACAAACTTGTCCTTCTCTACCCTACATCACCCCTACAGCCCTAAGGTTGTGCTGTAAGCATGTGGCATCAACATCTAAGAGCTCAAACCATGAACAGCCTCCCTGGAGTCCAGTTATTGCTGACCATTTATCTTGGGAGGAAATCAAAAGCCATCTTTCCTCTGCCCCTTTCTTTTCTATGCATTTCTCAGTCTTACAATGCAAAATTATTGGGGAAAAGGCCATTTATTGACTAGAACCAATCTTAGAGCAGCATTTCCAAGATACCTAGTTACAAAAATGTGTGAACTCATCAAGAGTCATTTTATCCACCTAAAACCAGGACCACAGAACCACTCAGCAGCATGTTTATGATTTATTACCTTTGGCCAGTCTTCACTGACAGCACATTCCTGCTTAGCCTGAGGTAACACAGGCCCTGCTGCTCTCGGGGAATGACTCATGTCTTTGCCATTTTGCCTCACACTCTCCTGCATCCCTACTGCTGGAACTGGGATCACTTCACTGCAAGAAACGCTCTTGGTGGAGGGCAAAATCTGTCTCTGGATTACAGTAGGATCCTGCTGATTAGCACTTGGTGTCAGCAGAGCTGCAGATGTGGATTTTAAGACATTTCTTAAGCTAATTGGTGATGAATTTTTGGAAACTGTACATGGTTTTGGGTCTTTCTGAGACAGCACCACTCCTTTGCTTTTTGTCAACACCAGATTCACCACTTTACTGGTTATTTTACTGACTTCAGTAGAATCAATTTGCTCGGGTGTCTCCTTTTTAAGTAAAGCATCAGAAGAAGGAGATGCCTGTTTGTCAGCCTGGGCTGACAGAACATCAGAGCCTCTTTTGGTCAATAAATAGACTTTCCCATTGTACATGACCAGAGCATTATCTTTTAAACGTGTGATTTTAGTTTGGCTTCCACTAGGACCATTAGAACAGAGTGGTAAAATATTTGCAGGGTTGACTTCTATATTCTTCGTGTCTGACAAAGTTTTCAGGATCTTGGAAGCCACATTACTTGAAGACTTTACAGGGATACGACAAGCAGCTGAGAGCGGGGCAGTTTCTTGCACAATCCATTTCATGGGAGTTTGCTGGCACTGCTGCCCCTTGGATGTGACTGGCTCAGGAGAAGAACCAGATCCCTTCTGGGCAGCTGTCACTATCAGTGTCTTTGAAACTTCCGTGGCAGGTTGAGGGCAAAAGCTCTGCAAGTGCTTGGGCAGGACTTGGGAGGTTTTCACTGTGTTTACGGGTGACACGTAAATCACTGTTGGTGCTTTTGTACTGTCAGCCCCTCCAGACACATTGGTGGCTGCAGCTGCCAGGATTTTTTGCTGTATTGCAGGTGGCAAAAGAGATGCTGGGACAGATTTCACTTCTGCATCAGCTGGAATCTGGAGGTGGTGTCCGGAGGGCAGCATTGGAGACTTAACAGTCACTGGGAGGGGTTTGGTGTTCACCACTGTGCAGGTTGGGCTGCTCTGGTGAGAGGGGCTCGTGATGGCCACGTTCTGCAAGGACACTCCATCCATGGGCACACAGCTGCTCTGGGCATTGGCAGCTGCGTTTGGAATCAAGCTTTCCTTTTCAGAACCTGCCCTAGCACTTTCCTGCTTGTCTAATGTCCTTGTAAGAATAATCTTTCCAGGATTAGGAGACTGAAAAATCGGTATCTTAACAGATGAAGGTGCAGCAGTATTGCCAATCTGTGTCGTAATAGTAAGATGGACTGGGCTAGAAACATTTGCGTTAGAATTATTTGGCATGGCTGGAGACTGAACTATTGGCACAAAGCTTCCAGAAGTTTTAGAAATGGGAAGCAATTTCAGAAGGTTTTTTCCATCTGGTCCCGTTGTCTGAATGACTCGGTACATACAGCCTGCAATGCTTAACAAAGAAAAGGGAAAAGAGAGAAAAATGAAAGGCAGTGTAAGTGAATAAGCATAGGTACTATAATTCATGAGCATCAGTGAACTCTACACCCAGGGCTGAAGCATATTAACACCTGGAAAATGATTGAGCTAATCTTCAGGAGCTTCCTACTGACCTACCCAGGTTTTCATTTGAGACCACCTCAGACGGTCTGAAAATAGTGTCCAACTTCAACACCCCAGAGTAACAAGAAATGGCATCTTTTTCAGATTAAAAATAAGTTAAAAGACCCCAGGAAACACCTCATATTACCTCTGCTTCCCCTCACGGGGCCTTTCATTTTGAAAATGAAACCACTAACTCCTGATTTCCCAGAGAAGACATATTCTTCCCTTTCCCACCTCCCTGTTACTAGTTATATCCTTCCTGAGTGCTTCAGGAACACTTCAGGAAAATACAGGCAGAGTAGTTGCAAGGCAAGATGGAAGCAGAAATTACTTCAGACACAACAAAGGAATTTGGAAGCAGGATGTGTTTATCTTGTGGAACAGGTGGCTCCTGTCCCTCCATCGCACCTGCCTGGCCATTCTTGAGGCAGATACAGACCACAGAGGTGATTTGTCCTCAAAGAGATGGAAAACCCTCAAATACTACTGGGTTATAAACATTTCTGAGAACAGAAGTCTAAGTCTGGGAAGGAAAAGGCTCCAAAACCAAGGAAGAACACATGGAAACACTAGGGACATCTCAAAGAGAAAACAAAGATTTCTTGCAGGTGAAGGTAAGAACTCACCAAGAGACCAACAGATCTTGTCAAAACACAAGTTAGTTGTGCCAGTTCCAAATGCCAAGATTTTCTGAGTCCATGGCAAGACAAAGAACCTTTTCCACTCCGGTTGAGTTTGCCCAAAGCAAGCTCTTCTGCAAAGAGCTCCTGGACTCTGAGCAGAACAATCTACTGCCCAAAGCACTGCAGAGAAGTGTGGGTAAACAGAGCTGCCCTCACTGGAATGAAGAGACCAAATCACTGGAAGTTGTTTCCTGACAGCAGATCCAGAGTGATTAACAGGCAGAGCTGCCAACTCCACCTGGAGCCACCAAGAGCACCAGCTCCATCCCATCAACCTCCCACATCAGTAAGTGCCTTGGGAACACAAACATGGAAATGTTCCCAGTCCCATCCCAATGACATCAGTGCTGTGTTCTGCTTTCAGTCAGGCAGTTTTGAAACCAGCATTTTTTCTGTCTTTTTGGGCTTCTGACTCAGCTTGGAGCAGTGTCTGGGAGAGCTCAGTCCTGCCTCCCACCACTGTGCCCGCTCAGGAGTCAACCAACCTTTGCCTTTTTGCCTTTTCCCATCAAGAGAGTAGTCACAGGAATGCTCTTCACTCCCAAAGCTGGGCAGTTGCTGCTGTGGGTCCCATTCCCCTGGGGACTGACACAAACACCCCACTACTGACTGCCCAACACACAAAGGCATCAGGGACACAGAGCTTTCCTTGCTGTGACCTTGGAATTAACTCCCATACCTAGTATTTTGGTACAATGCCTCATTTCTGGTCACAATGTGTGAAAACTGAGATTTTACATAAGGTAACAGTGCAGTGGGCAGGAAACTCTGCAGTACTTTTGTTTTTAAGGTACTGAAAATTAAAATATGGGCAATATATCACACAGTTCCTAATGGAAGCTGTCATTGAAGGGCTTAGGAGCAAAATGGCATTGGATGCTTTGGAATCAGAAATTAGAGTTGAGATGGACTAGCACCGACAGGCAACAATCTGAGAGAAAACAGTTGTACTTAATGTACTTAAAAGAAGAGGAAGTAGAAATATTTGTGTGTTTGAACATAATTAAAGCAGAGAAAAAAGACTTTTGAAGAACTTTAAACCTTCTAGCACTACTGACAATGCAAATGAGGAACAGCAGCAGCTCCTGGACAGCACTTTGTCTGTTCTGTGCTTTGAATCTCTCAACACTTCTTCCATAACTTCATGATCTACAACCTCAACTGTGCTTCTACATATAAGAAGTAAAGGCAAATCCAGAAGGATTTTTTCAGCAAGTCACACAAACGTGGAAGTGCTGAACAGAGAAACAGGCACTTACCTGCGCCCTCAACTAACTAGGGCTGCAAACTGGCACCAAGAAGAAACCTCCAAAGAGGCTTGTTCCTCCACCTGTCAAAGCAAGGGGACATTTCTAACTTTTGGGCAAGAGGAGGGGGAACAGATCAGAGGGAGAGGAAGCAATAAAAACAGGGAGCGATGAGCTGATGATATATTTGCATCAATATGTTCCTCTGCCAGTTTGCAGTGCTCACCTCATTCCACCTGGAATCACCACTCACCACCAGCTCAAAGGACTTAAAAATTGGTTTTGACTTGCTACAAACAGGAACTTTAAAAGTAGGCTGGGGGAAAAAGCATCAGTAAAAAAATCTCATTTGTCTGAATTTCAGATCATTCTACTTTTAATGGTTACAGAACACAACTGTAGCTTTTTATCTCCATGAAGAAGAGCAAGATGCCCCAAAATCATAATTGTCTAGAAAATAGCATTCTTTAACTTGAAACAAATATTAGGTATTTTCATGTTTGGAGAATGACAAAAAGCTTAAGGATAGGCAGGAGAGAATGAAAAGTCCAACAAGATACCGAGTAACCGAGTAGTGGAATTCACCATATTTACTCCAACAACAGAGGAAAGAATCACGGCAAATCTTTTTAGCTCTCTTAAGTTGAAAAGGCTTCATTGCAATAATTTCACATCATAAAGCTTTTCCCAGGTGATACAAAAAAAACCACCAGGAAAAAGTTTCATGTTACCAGAATAAAATAAAGCACTGTCGCACTGTCTCCATATATTTATGAGTGATGAAGAGTTAGAAATTGTTTTGCTTCAGTCTTCAAGGTTACTGCTTCCTTGAATTAATGAATCTTTAAAAATATCTTAAGCAGAATGAAAAAAACTCACTCAGTATTCCCTTTTTAGGGTGTCAAATTAATTTGGTTAAAGAACAGGTTAATTTCTTTTCCTAACCAAAAAGAGGAAAAAAAAAAAAAAAAGTAAAGGAAATCTGTATCATGCCAGGTTGTCCATGGGGACTTCTCCCATAGTTACTGAAGTAGAGTTTTCTTTCTCCTCTTCATCCTCCTTCGCTTCCAACCCCATAAGAATAAACCTCCTCAAGTCTCATACACAAACACTCAGAAATAATTGTGTTGTTATGAATGCCTTTAGAAAGGCCTAAGGCAGATCCATAAACAAACCTTGAGGGAAATAAGCTCATGGAAGACCAAAAAATAGTGGAGGACTGGAGGAAATCTTATTTAACATCACCAAAGAAATTATCAAATTCAATAAAAACAATAGAATAAAATTCTGTGACATTCACAGAGGGATCTTTCAACCACATTAATTTTTTTGATCCAAAAAGGAGATTTCTTTTGGTGAACAGTCTGTGTGTGGCAACACTGACACCTCCCTATGCATGTGGCATTAAGGAAGGCAGGAAAGCCAAGAGAACAGAAAGAAACTGGGATATTTATTTCTTTACTCATTTCAAAACAGAAAAATTTAAAAAAATAATCTACATTTCCTTCAGTTCACCAGAATTCCTGTTTTCTTGACCAGACACACCAGTTTTACTGTCCAAACTTCTCTTTCTGTTCATTACTCTCAGTAAGCAGCACAAAACACAAAATACTGAGTATTCAACCATTCACCTTCTGGCCTTTATGCTTCCATTAACAAAAACACGCACGGAATATTTTCAAGAAATAGGAATATTTATTTCTGTCAAACAAATTCATTCACCAAATCCAGTGCAAACACCAGCACATGATTCCCACAGAAATCCTGACAGTGCCACTAAAAAATGCATCAGCAGAGACCAGAGACTGGCTCAATTTTCCTGCAAAGTCCTCAGAAGGAACAATGAGCTACTTTCCCATCTGCCTTCACTCCCAACTACTCCTTTAGGCACAATTTTCACCTACAAATGTGAATAAATAACCAGGGACTATGGGCCACTTCAGAGAACCAAAAGAATTTATTTTAATGGGTTCAGTTGGATCCAGGAAGTGACAAAGTAACTATTTATTGTCAATTGGAAATGTGCACCCAGGGACAAAGTAAAATTAATTGACTGCAGTTGATACATATTTATTTTATACAGCTGCATTCATTCCATGGATTATTTTAAAATTGTAATAAAATAATAATAGTAACGATAATAATAAATACATAGTAATATATAATCTAGATAATATACAATAACCATAATTATTATCATCATCTAAAGGAAATCAAGAAATTGATGTTGAATTTGGAGGAATCCTGACCAGAATTTCAGTTCAAGCTATCTCATGATCTGAGGTTTTATCCTAAACCAGAAGCTTTCCATAATGGCAGAGAAAACACTTTCTGTTTGACAATAATTGTTTCTGGGAACTCTTTTCATCCACTGTGTAATATTCCCTGGAGTAGAGACAATCGTGGATGTGCAAAGTGCCAGGAAACAGCCCCGGAGCTCTGCTACCAACCACAGCTCTCCTGATCCACGACCGAATCCTCCTCCACCACAAAAGCACAGGAAGAATCTGTGACCACCACAAACACCCAACGTGGATCCCATGGCAGCCCCGGGATTCAGAAACCACCCAGAACTCATCCCAGAACACACAAAGCACCCTGAGAACCCTGAGAGACCAGGGAAGGCAGCAGAGCCCCAGCAGGAACGGAGGCACAGAGAGCCGGGCAGCCTGAGGCTCCCTGGGCACAGCTGCAGCCAGGACAGCACAGCACAGCACAGCACAGCCCAGCCCAGCCCAGCCCAGCCCGGCCCGGCCCGGCCCGGTCCAGCCCGGCCCAGCCCAGCCCGGCCCGGCCCAGCTCGGCCCAGCCCGGCCCGGCCCGGCTCAGCCCGGCCTAGCCACCTCTCGTGGTGTGATCTAATGAGGGAAACCGACACACAGAGCCCAGGGAAGAGAACAGGGCTGGGAAGGGGCTGGAGTCCCAGGAGCAGCTGAGGGAGCTGAGGGGCTCAGCCTGGAGAAAAGGAGGCTCGGGGGGGACCTTGTGGCTCTGCACAACTCCTGACAGGAGGGGGCAGCCGGGTGATGTTGGGCTGTGCTCCAGGGAACAGGGACAGGAGGAGAGGGAACGGCCTCAAGTTGTGCCAGGGGAGGTTCAGGGTGGATACTGGAGAAAATTTCTTCAAGGAAAGGGTGGCCAAGCATTAATAAAAGGCTTCTCAAGGCAGAGGTGGAGTCACCATCCATGGAAGCATTTAAAAAAATTAGTGGATGAGGCACTTGGGGACATGGGTTTGTGGTGAATGCGGCAGCGCGGGGGGAATGGCTGCACTCATTGATCTTCAAGAGCTTTTCCAACGGAAATAATTCCGTGACTGTGAAAGGTTCAATTCCTCTCCCATCCCCACTGCCCCTCTCCCGCTACCTCCAGCACACCCCACCCTCACCGCGATGTGGCAGCAGCGACAACAAACACTAAGAGCCGCCGAGAGCAAAACGCAGCCAAAACTCAACACAACCAAAACTCAACCAAAACACATCCAAAACACAACAAAAACTCAACCAAAATACATCCAAAACACAACCAAAACTCAACACAACCAAAATACATCCAAAACACAACCAAAACTCAACCAAAACACAACCAAAACTCAAGTGGCGTCAAGCCGGAGACGACACCGCACGCGTTAGGAGCTGGAACTGCCCCCGGCCGCTCCGCCCCGCCTGGAACGGAAAAAGGAAAGGAGAAGGCAAGGGAAGAGGGAAAAGGACAAGAAAAGGAGGAGACAGACCAGGATAAGAAAGAGACGGGAAAAGAAGGATAATAAAGGAATGGAGGGGAAAGGAATTAACAGGGCGCGCTCCCCGCCGCCTCCCGCCAGTCCCGCCGGGGCCGCCGCCCTCCCGTCTCCGCCCACGGGTCGCGGCGGGCGGGGAGCGGCGGGACCGTACCTGGCGGGGCGTCCCTGCGAGGCGGAGCCCCGGGCCCGCCCGTACTCACAACTGCGGCCGCCGCCCCGGGCTCCGCGACATGGCGGGGCGGCCCCGCCGCGGCTCCGCATGCGCGTCACTTCCGCCCGCCCCGCCCCTGCCGCCGCCGCTGCTTCCCGGACGCCGCTTCCGGGAAGTGGCGCCGCCCGGCGGCCGCGAGCGGCAGCGCGGGGGTGACGCTTCCGGTGCGGGCGGAAACGTGCGGGGCGGGGCCGGCTCGGGGGGAGGGGCCACAGGCTGGCCACGGGGCGGTGCCACTGAGGGCGGGCGGGCGGCCACAGGGCAATTTGCATATGCAAATATTGCTATAATGTATGCAATAGCCGGCGTCTGTCAGAGACAGTGGGCTGAATACATGCACACGTGAGAAGCATTGCGTGCTGTCAGTGACCTCTATATGTAATATATGTTATGTCATATATAACATGAATAACATGAATAATAGCTCATCTAATATTATCATTATATAATTGTATAATTATAATAAATCGTGGTAAAATAATAAATTTAAATTAAAGTCATAAATAACGACATTTATAATAAAATAGAATGAAAATTTATCATTATTGTCTTACATTTTATATAATCTGTACTGTAGATTACTGAAAGTACATATATTATTATATTCAATATATTACATTATATTATATTATATTATATTATATCATATCATATTATATTTCATATCATATCATATATCATATCATATATCATATCATATATTACATTACATTGCATTAAATTACACTCTATTATATTTATGATTCTGAGATTCTGTGATCCAGAATCACTTATGTTGAAAAAGATTTCCCAGACCACCAAATCCAACCTGTGACCAGTCACCAGCTGGACAAGACCACTGAGTGCCACAAGCAGCCACTCCTTGACAATGTCCAAGGACAATGACTCTACCAACAACGGAGTCCCCATTTCCCTCCTCCACCCCAAGCAAGAGAATGAGTCAAAACTCTCTGGATTTGTGAATGTCCAGACTGTGGTAACAGCAGGGTGTTGGGGTAATACAGGAGAAGGTGGGTGTGCCCTGAAGAAACCACCCCCATCCCATGAAGTACCCACCCTGCAGAAGGAGAAAGGCAAGGAAGGATGAGCAGCAGAGGGGAGATTTTATACACTGACCACATCCCCCTTTCCCCATCCCCACTGCACCACCCAGGCTAGAGGGAAAGGGAGCAGTTGGGGATGTGAAGCTGAGCCTGGGAAAAAAGTGGTTTAAATCTTGTCTTGGTTTCTCAATATCCAAACATCTTTTAATTTGCAATAAACTAAATAATTTTTTCCAGCATCAAGTGTTTGCTCATGACAATTATTGGTGTCATGTGAAGATTATAGGAATTTGGCAGAAAATAATCCCCCTTTGTCCCAGCTGGTCCTCAGAGGGAACAGCTGGGTTAAATTTCCAATCATGACCAGTTGGGCACCACAAGTCTGGTCTTGTGCAAAAAGGACTTTCATAATCACAGCAGTAGGAATTATTGCAACAACAGAAATACAGGTTTGGAATTGCCATTGATAAATGCACCAGCACCAATAGAATGATGATTGATGATGATGGTGACGATGACAATGATGAACAACAACCATACTAATAATGATGTGCTAACTTGGGTAATTATAATTGTATGCAAAATGTTACCAAGAAGGCATCCTCAGCTGGGAGGGACGAGAGCAGAGTCACCCACTGATTCTCTCTAAGGTCCTCCTCCTCACCAGGGTAATTTATATCCAACCCAATCATCCCCCTCCTATTTAATGTACAGCATGATCCAGGCAAAGAGTTGAGTTTTAAAGTCATCCACAGAACCCTGGAATCAATCAAGTTGGAAAAGACCCCCAAGATCATTGACTCCAACCTGTGAATGGTCTCCACCTTATCAGCCAGATAAAGCACTGAGTGCCATATCCAGGTATTCCTGGGACACCTCCAGGGATGGAGACTCCAAACCTCCCTGGGCAGCCCCTTCTAATGCCTGACCAGCCTTTCCATGAAGAAATTCCTCCTCATGTCCAACTTGAACCTCCACTGGCACATCTTGAGGCTCAAGACACAGAGGTTTAGACCATCTTCTGATCTTTGTGGTTCCTGATACACCTAAAAAATTATAATCTTTAGAGTTACTATTCCTTAATACAGTAAGACTGAGTTTGGAACCTGCCATGAAACCAGTGGGGGGCAGAGAGAGGTGTCATGGGGACACTTGAGAACAGTGTCCGGCATGTGACACAGGCAAAGGCGCCATGACCAGTCACAGTGTGTCCATGTCACTGCTCTGAGATGATCCTGCCCTGATCCAACCCCTGGGCTGCATCAAGAGGTTACCTGGAGAAACACCCCACCATTTCAGCCAGGGAAGGAGCTTTACAAGCCCCTCTGGGTACTTCTTGGCCAGCAACTTGTCAATGGGATTTGCTTATGCCCAAACTCATGTTTGCAAACCTCTTTCCATTTTTCTACAACACCTGTATTCCTAGTCACAACCCAGAATCACTGGACCATGAAACCATTTTGGTTGGAGAAGCCCTCTAAGATCATTAAGACCAATTGTTGACCCAGCACTGCCAAAGCCACCACTAAACTATATCCCCTGAACACCTCCAGGGATGGTGATTCTACCTGTGCCCTGGGCAGCCTGAGCCAGAGCCTGGCCACTTTTTCCATGAAGAAATTTTTCCCAATATCCAAATTAAACCTGCCTGGCACAGCTGGAGGCTGTTTGCTTTTGTCCTGTCCCTGTTCCCTGAGAGCAGAGCCTGACCCCACCTGGCTGCCCCCTCCCATCAGGAGCTGTGCAGAGCCACAAGGTCCCCCCTGAGCCTCCTTTTCTCCAGGCTGAGCCCCCCAGCTCTCATCCATTCCTAAGAGGACTCATGCTCCATACTCTTCACCAGCTCTGTTCCTTTCTCTGGGCTTGAGAAGATAAAGTATCTTCTACTGGAGTATCTTAAATACTCCAATAAAGGAGTATTTAAGGAATATGAAGGTGCACATGTCTGTGGGATCTGATGAGATGCGTCTATGGACCTTGGGGGAACTGGCAGAGGAAGTTCCTAAGCCACTCTCCATCACATTTGAGAAGTTGCAGCAGTTCAGTGAAGTTCCCCCTGAGAAGACCAGGCACAGGCGTGATTTGTCTAAGATACTGTGACTGTCACAACAGGAAAGGTGTGATCAGAGCAGGTCCTGTGGACCTGAGCCAACTCTCAGAGACTCATGCTCAGCTTCCCCTCTCGAGGAGGACTCAAAGGGTTGGCTGTGCATTTGTGAATAAAACAGAACGAAAAATCTAATTTACATAAGAGGCTGCACCAGGTTAACTATGAAGGGAGGTCAATTGGGACCCCTAGTTCTCTTTTTCCTCTCTTTCACTTTGTCTCACAAGCCCAGCTCCAGGAATAAGGTGAGATCTAAGGACTAGTGGACTCTGCTTTTGTTCTCTTCCTCACTCTTTTCTGACTTTATTTCACAGAACCACAGAATGTTCTGCATTGGAAAGGACCCACAAGAAGAGTCCAACCCTTGTCCTGCACAGACCCCCCAACAATCCCACCCTGGGCATCCCTGGCAGTGCTGCCCAAACACCCCTGGAGCTCTGGCAGCCTCGGGGCTGTGCCCATTCCCTGGGGAGCCTGGGCAGTGCCAGCACCCTCTGGGGAAGAACCTTCCCTGATACACAATCTAAACCTCTGCTGACACTCCAGGATCCAGCCATTCCCTCTGGTCCTGTCCCTGGTCACCACAGAGACAAGATCAGTGTTTGCCTCTTCCCTTCACATGCAAATTGTAACTGTGGTTAGTCTCCTGTCAGTCTCCTCCAGCTGAACAGAGCAGCTGCCCTCAGCTGCTCCTCATATGTCTTCCCCTCAAGGCTGTTTACCATCTTTGTTTCCCTCCTTTGGATGCTCTCCAACAGCTTAATGTCTTCTTTATCTTGTGGTGGACAAAACTGCCCCCAGCACTCGAGGTGAGGACAGAGCAGAGCAGGACAATCCCCCCCCGTGCCCAGCCAGCCATGCTGGGCCTGATGCCCCCAGGACAGGGATGTCCCTCCTGCTGCCAGGGCACTGCTGGCTCAGACCCACCTGGCCACTGACCAGCACCCCTGAGCCCCTTTCCAGGCGCTGCTTTCCAGCCTCTCACTCCCCATTCTGTCCATACATCCAGGTTTGCCCCATCCCAGCTACAGAATTCAGCACTTTCCCTTGTTTAATTTCATACATTTGGTGATTGCCCATCTCTGATTTGTTGAGGTGTCTCTGCAGGGCCTCCCTGCCTTCAAGGGAGTCAACAGCTCCTTCCCAGATTTGTATCATCTGTGAACCTGCTCAGTATCCCTTCCAGTCCTGCATCCAAGTCATTTATGAAGGTGTTGAAGAGCACAGAGCTCAGGCCCTGTAGAACCCCAATAGTGACAGGTCCCCAGTTTGATGTCACCTCAGTTATTGTTACCCTTTGTGGCTGACCCGTGAGCCAGTTGCTCACCCATTCCATGATGTTTTTATCCAGCTGTGGGCTCGATATTTTGTCTAAAAGGATCCTGGGAGAGACAGTGTTGAAAGCTTTATTGAAATCCAAAAATATTCCATCAACTGGCTTTCCTGAGTCAGCCTGGTGGGTCACCTTGTCATGAAAGGAAATCACATTTTATAAGCAGGATCTTCCTTTCATGAAGGAACGAATGACCAATTTTCCATACACAGTAACCTTCTCCATAACTTTACCAGGCACTGAAGTGACACTGCAGGTCTGTAGTTTTCAGGGTGCTCTGGAGTTGCTCCCTTGCTTTGCCTGGGCAAAGCATGCTTTTCACATTCCATCCTGTGCTCTGTGTGGAAGTTTGATGTGGGAGTTGGGAGATTGAGTAGTGGTACCATGGCTTGTGAGCCAGCTCCTCTGAGGAGTTTGTTGTGAGAGTTGACAACTCACTGAAGAGAAGGGCACAAAATTAAGGGCTTGTAGCCACCACTCCTGTGGAAGTGCATTGTAAATATTCAAGAGCTTGTTGGTCAACACCTTTGGAGTTTA